CTGTCGAGCGGGTGGATGACCCTCGACCCACTAATCGGGGCAAACATTATATCGGCGCTGGACTTGCACTACACAAGCATAAAAAGAAGATCATGGTTCGGACGGCAGCACCAGGAGGCGCGGGCGGCAGCCAGCAGCGGCCGTTGACGGAAGAGGAGGCGCCACCAGAACAACTCGCCGTGTTCTCCGTGCCGCCCGTCTACGCGGGCATTTGTGGCCTCCTTTACTGCCCCCGTTTGCCCCCCCCCCAAAATCTGTTTATCATTTTTTTTCCTATTGGCCTGGTGGATGGGCCCTGGTTTGGGCGGCGAGCCTCACACTTTGTTGCGGTGTTGGCCAGTCGCGCTGGCCTATTCAAACGCCTGGAACGCGTGGGTGCGCGCGATCAATCGTCCGCCAACGCCGTCGGCGTCGGGGTGGGACCGTGTTGTCGGCTCGCCCGGGCAAGATTTCAAGGCACCGCACCCTTTAGTTATTCAATTCAATCACAGATATCATTGTTTAATGTAAAAATAATTCACTTCCTACTCTAGGCCGAGGCGGTCATCAGCAACCGGAGCTGGATGCGCTTTGGCCTGCTCGCGTAATGTGCCTCTGCTTTACGTTGTGTCGTGTGTCGTGCGTCGTGTGTCGTGAAAACATGAGCGTGTGTGACTGATCACGATCTTGGCCTCTCACAGGGGCACGGATACACTGGAGTCGCTCACCTCTCTTTACCTGGGCCTGGCCGTGAGCTTCACGCTCAATGGTACCCCACCCTCACACCTGTCAATTGCCAGCCAACTTCTGCTTCTCCTCCTCAACTGCGCACCCGCGGCGTGTGGCGTGTGGCGTGTGGCGTGCCGCCAGATTTCCGAGCGCCCCCAGGGCAGCAGCCGGAGTACCCCAGCCTCTTTTGTTCGCTGTGTGGCAACCTCGCGGGCACCGTCATCGCGTTCCCGCTCTCCATCCTCACCTGGCAGCTCCACACCGACAACTGGTACCGTGACCACGATCGTGATCTCTCTCTCTCTCTCACGCACACACTCGCGCACGCACGCACGCACGCACGCACCACACACACACACACACACACGACACACACCACACACACGACACACCACGCACACATTCTTGGACGGCAACCGCAACAATGATATTCAGGAGAGGCTGGGGCAGCCTGGTGCCGTTCACCAGCCTCGGCAGGCTCCACTGGCGTGCCCTGCCGGCCAAGTATTTCGACTCCCTGGCCCTGAACGTACTCAGGTACGTCAAACCTACGCACACGCACGCAACCACGACAACACGAGCCAAGCTGACATGAGGCCCGTCCCGTCTTCTTCGGCCGTTGTCGGATGGGGGGGGGGGTCAGGGCGCGGATGGGCGAGGTGATGACCTCGGTGACGGGCGTCGGTTGCGAACCGCTGGGGTGGCTCGCCAGCGACATCAAGAACCACCAAGACGACCCTGACCTCTACGACGTCCATGTACCCCTGATCGCACACGACACGACACGACACGACCAACGACACTACAGCTCGTTAATGATGTATGCCATTCTTCTGGGAATAGGAGCGGTCCACAGCCAGCGTGATCGTAGACCGCGCTCGGCTTTGGGCCATCGGCAGGGTCGGCTCCTGGCTCTCCGGCCTTGTCCTTGGTACATACCAGATACGACCCACACGCAAGTCCCCTCAATCGGCGCCACCGCTACTCACCAGTTGTCATCGGTGGTGGTGGTGGTGGTGGTGCGGTCGATATACAGTGGGCATGCAGGTGCCGGCGGCGATCGTGTGCCATCGCATGTTGGCCGAGCCGGGCCGCTTTGGGTCGGTGGTGGAGTGCGTGCGGCACATCTGGGCGAGCGAAGGCCTGAGCGGCTTCTACCGCGACCTGCCCCTCTTCAGCCTCCTGATCCTCAACGAGCTCATGTGAAGAAGAGAGCCTCACAACGTAACAACAAAAAAACCTGCTTTCGCCCAGACCTGAAGACCCCTGTCCGTAGATGACTACCGAGGTGAGCATCAAGACTACAGTCTACCGCGCTACCAATTGCGCCACAGCCGGTTTATGTTGTGGATGAGAGGAAAATAACGAAATAGTAGTCGAGCGGAGGGAAAAACAGGCCTAACTATTCAACAGTTTGTTCTTCTGGGTGGTGCCTCAGGCCAAGCACCTCGCCCAGTCGGTGCTCGATCCCAAGACGCTCGAGGATTTCCTTCAGGCCGTCGAAGGTGACCTCCTTGAACGCCGGAAAGCGTTTTGTGCTGTCATCTTCCTGCGGTAGTCTCTCCTCCAACTTGCTCACCATTCGCTGCCAGGGCATGGCACGCACTCGCCTGCCCAGCGCGAGGGCATTGTAAGTTATTGCCATGGCGTGTGCCGTGTGCCGTGTGTCATGTGTCGTGTGTGTCACGTGCGGTGTGGTTGAACAGTCCCAGGGAGGTACGCGTACCTAACGAACTCACGCACGCGCTGCGAGTCGCCCTCGATCACAATGAGGCCGGGCTTGCCCGCCAGGCAGGCCCCGCGCAGTCGCAGCTCGCTGGCCCACTCCGGCATGATGCGCCGCTTCTTCTTGCCGTAGATGTGATGCGACCACAGCCAGTGCCG